AGATGGGAACAGGCAAAAAGTGAGAGTGCTGGTGGCTGATGACCAACTTCAAGGGAAAAATGATGAAGGAAACCACTCACTGAGCACCTACCTCATGTTGGTTCGGCACTGTGGTAGGTGTTTTCTTGTTTATGTAGGTATTGTCTCCATTTTATAGTAGAGGAACTTTACTTATTCATCAAATAGACGTATTTGGAATATAAAGACCATTAAAACACAGTCTTCTTCCTCGAGGATCTCAGAGTATTGTAGGTGAGCAATACAGACAAGTCGTTTCATTATAGAGTGGTCCTTAGAAAAGAGTAGATGCAAGCACAAGATGCAATGAAACCACAGAGAGGTTCCCCAAGTCACAGAGGCAGCAAGCGTCAGAGCCAAGGTTCAACTCCTGGACTCTCTGGATCCAAACCCTTGCACCTGCCACCACTCTAGCTGGACAGCTACAGCCGTCAGGACCTTTAGTCATAGTCTGAGTTCTGAGGAAGAGCAGTAGCCCTTGTTGCTGGCAGGGAATTGTTTAAGAGCAAGGAGAAGCCCTTGGGAATTGGGATGCGGCATGTACAAGTGACCCAGCAGCACCTCAGGCCCAGAAGAGGAGATGATGACCGGGAGAGGAGCGGTTACCAGATCATGAAGCCTCTCCCCTGGGACAGGATTGATTCCAGAGCCTCGAGGTGGCAGTGAGTGGTTCTACCTATAAGAGCCACTGGGGCAAGCAAGAAACCAGGTTGCACTTAGAGAGGCAGATTGGTACCAGAAAATGGAGGGTCTGAAAAATCAAGCTGGGATTGAGAGGAGGGGCCTTATTGGGAATGGCAGTGGGGATGTGAGAATGAAATCAGACAATTCTTGAGCTGGAAGGAAAATCTGCCCAATCTCTAGGATCATCATCTCCTTTTTGCTTCTGTTGAGTTCAGTAGCTCCTGACAGGACTGTCTGCCCTTTGGAAAACAACTCTTTTGCTTTAAAAACTTTGTTTTTTCCTCCCTTCTGAGCACCAGATCTGGAAGAGGCCCCAATCTTTTCTAGGGATTCTTTGTTTCTGACTAGTGGCTGGATAGCCTAAGCCAACCTTCCACAGTTGGAACGGGGCATTGGGCCATACCTCTGGGGCATGTGAATCACAACTCTCTCTGGAACAATGGGTGAGGCCGGGAGAAGTCAGAGGATTAGAGGTGGGGAGGCCAGGACTGGAGAAGGAACAGTGGAGCAGCTTGGGGAAGAGAGCCTCTCTGGGCAGGTGGCTCCATTTGATTTCCGATTTAAAGGGGAGGCTTAGATAGCCAAGAAGAAAAAGGCTAATAAGAAAAATATTAAACGGCAGTGTGTACGTCCCCAGGGACTTCCTGTTGCCATGACTGACCTCCTGGAGAGCGCCATTCGTTCCCGAGCATGGCAGCTTTATAGGCACTTGTAGGCCAGCAAAGAACACCAATTTGCTGCCGCAGTTTGTTTTGATAACTGAAACTTTCAATAAATCTATATTAAAATCAAAGGGAAAATTAACTAGGCCCCAGTGAGGGGCACAGAGATAAGGGAGCACATTACCACCCTGGCCTCAGCCACACCACATCCATCTCTTAGTTCAGATTCAGGTCACCAGGGAGATGAATGGCTCGGGCTCATAGGGAACAGCTCTGGGGAAAGCAGGGTGAAGAAGGCATGGCCAGGTCTAGGCTCCACTGCTCTTGGAGCAGAGAAGACTGGGGCTGGGCGTGGGGGAGCAAGGAGGTGGTATGGTGGTGGTCACGGTGGGAAGAGGAGTTGGAAGAGGGGTGGGGGAGGGGCAAGAATAATAGTAACAGCCAATATTTACTGCACTCTTTATGCAGGATACTGTGCTAAGCATGTTTAATTCTAATAACAAGTAGGTACTAGTATTATCTACACTATAGAGATGAAGAAACTGAGCCTCAGAGAATATGTGACTTGCCTAAGGTCACAGATAGAGCCAGGATGCACACCTGAGCAGGCTCTCTCCACGCTCACTCTCCCTATAACTGCACTATGCTATCTTACATAGCTTACAGGACTGAGAATGGCAGAAGCAGTTTCTCCACTTATCAGATAAAACGGTTTCGGATCCAGTCTGGGTTCTCTCAGCTGTGCCAAGTTTGGGGGCTGCCATGCACTGTCCTTGGGTCCTGGGTTCTCTGCCCTTCAGTTGCTAAGGTCCCAACTTTGATGGCTATCTTGTGGATTTTCCTGGTGGTTTGACAGGGCTGCAGAAGAACCCATGTGGTTCTCTTTGGTTCTTGCTCTCAGTGTTCACTTTAGTTCAGTCACTGAATCCAGCAGCCAGGCAGTCTACCCAGGGTGTATATGTGCCTGTACTGGACTCAGTTCATCTGTCTCCGAAAATTCACTCGCCCCATCTGCTTGCCCCACCCTAGACCTTGGCCACCTGTTTTATGGACAACCCAGCTGCCACTACTATCACGTCATTTACTAACACATCTGGTTGTCTCAGTGCCCTCTGGGAGGAGGGTTAGGTTCTGAAAGAGCTTCCAATGTGCGCATTGTGATGGGACTGCAGTGGCCTATTTTGACCAAGCCAGAGGCTCCTCTCATCCTTTCTAGTCTCAGATGAACCACTGTGCTTTAGGGTGTGGGATCTGGCGCCCCCTGTGGCTACGGGAGTGATGGGGTAACGCAACCCTCCCTTTCTTCCTGTCTGAGAAGTGATGGTTCTACATGGTCTGTAGGACAGAGCAACTAGCTGTGCTTTCTGTTAAGCTTTGGTCATAACAATACTACTTTATATTTTCATTCCCTCCTTCCCTGCCTCACTTCTCTTTTCCCCCTCACTCTTGCTGTCCAGGGATTACATTTCCCAATGAAATCTTACTTCATAAGCTTTGCCTCAGGCTTTGTTTTCTAGGGAACCAGAACACAGCCAAAGGCTTGAGGGAGCCAAATGCTGGGTTAGGCAGCAGTGTAAGGTACCAAGTGTACTTAAACTGTCCTATTATTTGAGTGCATTTTGCCTGGTCTTTGTCCAAAAAGAGCTTACAATGTGGTGAGGCCCTGGAAGTTGTTCAGATGAGCTCTAGAGCACCAAGGAGGAAAGAACACATTTTGGGGAAGTCAAGCGTTCCATGGAGGATACTGGGGCTGGGCCTTAAGGAAAGCCTCCAATTCTCATAGTGTGTGTTTACTTCATTCTTACAGCCAAGAAGGCTGGCTATGCCATATTCTCAGGCCAGATTCAGGATATAACAACGCCAGAGACAAGAGAGGCCATACTAAGGCCTCTTATTAGTCTAATTTTTTTTTAAACATCTTTATTGGAGTATAATTGCTTTACAATGGTGTGTTAATTTCTGCTTTATAAAAAAGTGAATCAGCTATACATATACATATATCCCCATATCTCCTGCCTCTTGCGTCTCCCTCCCTCCCTCCCTATCCCACTCCTCTAGGTGGTCACAAGCACGAGCTGATCTTGTGCTATGCGGCTGCTTCCCACCAGCTATCTATTTTATACTGGTCTAATTTTATTTATCTATTTACTTACTTGTTTATTGTCTGTTCTTCCTCTCCCCTCCTCCTCCTCAATGTAAAAGCTCCCTGAGGACACAGATTTTGTGTGTCTTATTCACCAGTGAATCCTCAGCAACAGAAACAGTGCCTGACACTTAGCAGAGGCACTATAAAATATGTTGACTGATACGATCAACTGGGATTAACATCTAGATAACATTAATGGAAAGAGGAAGACCCAATTCCAGCTCCAAGAATCAGGCGATAGGCAGATGTGCTTCCACTTCACTGACCCTTGGTTAAGTGACACCTGTCCCTGCTGGTGTTTATTCCCTCATTTGTTCACAAACATTTATTGTGTGTCTGCTTTATGCCTGGTACTGTGCTGGATATTACTTTACAGCATGAACAATATAGAAATAATGCCTACCTTACAGGAGTTTACAACCCTGGGGGAGAGACAACAAAGAAACGGACAATTATAAAACAATGCAATAAATTCCGTAGGTGCAGAGTAGTATCACCTAACCCATCGTGTGGGATTAAGGAAGGCATTCCTTAAAGGGGGGATTACCAGGCTTTCCCAGCTCAGGTGGGAACCATTCATTATGTTAAGGTCAGATTTCACGGAGGTGGTAGGGCCCAGACCTGACGACATTTTCTTAAGTGAAAAAGTGTAGATGTCAGACAGAGGGCTTGGTGACCGAAGCTGGTCACAGATGGTTCCTGGCTGACCGGGAGGCTGTCAAAACCATCACTGGCTTGGCCAAGGCTGGGGTTTCCCAGCTCAGAACCTAGTGCCCATGACTTACCAGAGAGGCACAACCAAGATGAAGAAATACATCTCTGGCTTTGGCCAGAGTTCTCTCCAGTTGACTGAAAAGACTGACTGTGGAAACTCTCCACAGCTGAGGCCAGAATCCTTTTTAACTCTGAAGTTCCCTGTGGAGCTGATCTTAACAACTTAGCTCCCTCTTCCTTGGGAAGGCCCTTCAGAAATCTAAGCATTTTTTTCTTCGCCTAAAATCCCCCTCCTCTCAGGTCTTTCCCCAGGCCGACCTCAGAGAGTAAATGATAGTAGTGGCTTGCTGAATGAACTAATCATGAGAAGCTGACATCTAAATACAACATGTCACCTTATGAGCCTATATTCACCTCATGAGTATATTGGAAGGTGGGAAAACGGAAGTGGGGGACCTGGGTTTCTCTAGGCCTTAGAAAGTTTCCTTTTGTAGAAAATTTCTTTCACAGCTCAGAAGTGAGGCCCCCCCTTCACTTTCTTCTAAATACGTGCAACCTCGACACTACAAGTCCCATAAGGCCTGCGGTGGGGAGTCACCATCTTGGCGCACCTTCGCGCGCATGTCGGCGGGAGAGCGAGCCTTTGGGGAGAAGAAGCCCCGCCCCCGTGCAGCCCATTGGTCGCAGGAGCCGGCGGCGGGCTCAGCGGTTGGCCATCGCGCCCGCCCGTCCGCCGCGTCGGCCGGGGTCAGAGTGCGCGGAGGTGAGTCGGTGTGTTGTGGACTCGTGGTGCTGGCTGCCGCTGTTGAGGCGGCCGGGAACGGGCGGTGGGGAGCGGGCGGAGCTGGCCCTGCCTCTGCCTGGCCGGCGCCGCAGTCGGCGCGGGCCGCGCCCGCCGCCGTAAACTGCCCTGAGCGCCTGCTCAGGCCGAGGGAGAAGTCGGGGCCTGCACCTGGAGGGAGCCTGCCGCGCTGGCCCCGAGGAGGGGGCGTTGCCATGGCGACAGCCTCTCCCGCTGCTGACGGGGGGCGGGGGCGGCCCTGGGAAGGAGGGCTGGTCTCCTGGCCCCCTGCTCCTCCCCTTACAATTCCCTGGACTTGGATGGGCCCGAGTTGGGGGCAACACCCCGGGGTGGGTGATGCGGCGAGGCCCCCCCAGTTTGGGCCCTGGTAATGCATGCGGGGTGAGGGTCGCGGCGCGCAGTTTGTGCAGCCTGGGGTGCTGGCCCATGTGCTCACCCTGGATGCATGGTCTACTGAGAAACGTTTAGGCGGAGAAGGAGAGGGGCAGGGCTTTGAAAGACAGGCTGGGTGAGGTGATTAAGCATGCTGACTTCCTACCTGGGATTGCTTAGGAGGAGGAAGAGAGCTTTGACCAAAGAGGATAGAAAGCTAGCAAGGAGATGGTAGAGAGAACATTCCCTTTACCCTCTCCCCAACACACACACACACACAGACACACAAGCGTAGCAGTTTACTTCTTTTTGTAAATCTGTTGCGGTGGTCGTAGTTACGGTGGAAGGATTGAATAAGGGGCCTAACTTGGCTAGCTTTCTGTTTGCTTTTCCTGCAAATGCTCCAGCAACAGGTGTTTTCTTAAAACAAAAAGGCATGAACTTGGATTGGGGCTTGATTGCGAGTTCTTGCAAAATATAACTGCTCCTTGTTGGCTTGGAAGATGCTGAACGTGGCTTCTCATTGGGGGTTTGGATTCTGTCCTTAGGGCTGGATTTTGTAAACTGATGGTACCCATCATTCCCTCTGCTGTAGGTCTCTGGCCACTTCTCTGGTATTAGTTCTTGTCAGACATTTTATCAGTCTCCCAGGCGAAGGGCAAAAAACCAGGAATCCCATTGGCTAAAGACCGTACACTATTTGAACGATAGTAGGTTGTGATTGGCTGAATGATTTTTGATTGTAGAGTTTCTACCAGAAATTGGCTTCATCAAATTCTGCTTTATTCTGACTTTATCATACACAGCATGCCTTGTTTTGGTGGGTTCATGCCTGGAGCTTAAGTATATTATACCTGAATCCCCTAGCATTTGAAAGCCAATTTATAAACAGGGACTTGGAGTGTGACTTCACTAATGTGTGTGTCTGTGATCTTGGTTAGAAACCCACTTGGCTGCCTTTCGTGGGGGGAGTTGGGGGAGGTAGCTGCCGGGAAGTGATTGATAAGGTTTCCTTTATGGATTCTGTGGTGCTTCACTGGAGCTCAGAGCACTTTGGCAACTTAAGCACTCCAAATTAAAAACTCATTAACAATTCCTGCCCAAAGATCCTGTAAATAATCGGCTAGCTAGGTCATAGAGCTTGGCTGAGCGCTCTCCTTGCAACTTGAAATTTCCAAATAAAAGTGCTTTTATTCCCTTTCATTTTGAAAAGTGTTTTCTTTGCGGTGGGGTAGGTTGGCGAGTGGCATTTTTCCAGGGGATCTGAGTAGAATAAAGTGTTAAATGTGTAGAGTGGTAGAAGGAATAGATTGGTTCCAAACCTAGGTGTTTCTTTGTGCAAGGGCGTTGCTAGCTTACAAGGGCACTTCTGCAACTTCTAATCCTTTTGAAGATCTGATGAGTAAAAGGTGCAAGATTTAAGTGATCTGAAGAGAAACCGGAGTATGGAAAATCTGAATTAAGTGATAAATATGATAGGTGTCCATTGATGATTTGATTTGGGGTTTGATTACCTTGACTTTTTTAGAACTTGAGGCAGACCTAGATATATCCTGCAAGTGTTTCCTGGTCTGTGTGGCCATTTGCAGTATGGCCTGTGGCTTTGTGGCAACCAGTGTTTCCCCCAATCCCTGCTTCAGTGCCTGAGTTCTGAATATTGTCAGCCTTTACTAGTATCCCCTCCTTGGCTAGACTAGGATTCGGGATTATCCAGAGAGCCACGACTTCATGGCCATCTCTCTCAGTCCAAGCTCAGATATTGTAAATATTTAGTATTTCTAGGAGATAAACCTCCTTAGGAAGAAAAGTATGCCACTAGAGAAGATGAAATTCATCATTGCAAAAATATATATTGTTGACCATTGAAAAAACGCAGAGGTTAGGGTAACCGACTCCCCACACAGTTGAAAATCTGCTTATAACTTTTGACTCCCCCAAAACGTAACTACTAATAGCATTGACCAGAAGCCTTACTGATGACATAAGCAGTTGATTAACACATATTTTGTATGTTATGTGTATATCTACTTATATTTAATGCATTCATGACATCCTAACTTTTTCTTAATTCTTTTGGTATTTCTAGGCTATGTGGTTTATCTGCGGGCTTTTTCAAATTGTCACAAATCTCCAAAAAAAATCTCCCAATATATTTATTTATTGAGAAACATCTGCACATAAGAAGTGGACCTGCGCAGTTCAAATCTGTGTTGTTCAAAGGTCACCTGTAGTACTAGTAGCTTCTGAAAGCCCTGTCCTGGCACTGTGCTTTCACATAGATAACTGTTATCCCAAAGTAGTTTGAGTTTAGGAGTTTGAAGTATAGTGTGATCTTTAAGTTGTTTCAAACAGTATTGAAATAGAGTTGTTGCAGAGATCTGTATTTATCCACAGCATTGGGGCTTTCCAGCTCTCACAGAACCTTCAGCATCCCCAGCGGCCAGTCTTGGCATCTTCGAAGTAAGGAGAGGTGAGAATCCTGTTGCATGGTCAAGGTTTGGCTTGACTTCTTCCTTATGAGTATTTGGGCTTGGAGGGTGGGGAGTGGGGACTGGTGCAGACTGTACTTTTCTGTAGCTTTTCCTGACAAGATACCATATGCTAAAAAACTACTGAAACTTACCCAAAGTCTATAAAGTGGTGAGAGTTGAAGGTGGGATATCCATACTTTCAAGTTCTGCCATGATTTCTCAGTGGGCATTACATGAGCACCTACTTGAAGTTCAGGAAGGTTGAATAGAACCAGAATAATCCTTTATCCTGAGAAATACACATCTTAAGACAATAGGAAGGATCACATTTATTTGGCTTCTGATAAATGCATTTGACCAAGGCCTTTGGGATCTTGGTCACATGCATTTATCAAATTTGGGTTGTGGGTCACCTTTGGGTGGATGGTTAATCCCAGTCTGTCTCCGTTTTACGAGGATTGGGGCTGGCTAAAAAGGTAGACTCTGATGATTGATATCCAGGATGTCAGAGGCTGTTTGTTGAATAACTGAGGTCCAGGCATTTTGCTTGGTGGTGGGATTGTGGTGGTGAACAAGACAGCTGCTGTCCCTGACACCAAAGAGCTTACAAGTTCATGGGCGAGACAGATAGTATTGAAGCAGTCACAAGACCTCTGAGAGTGCTGTAACGAGGTAAGTATATGTGCTTGAGAGTAGTTAGAAGGATCTCCAGCCCAGACTGGTGGGTTCAGGGAAGGCTTTTCAGAGGAAGTAACCTACTCAGCTAGAATTAGACGAAGATGTGAAGAAACAAGTGTGAAGGTCAGAGCTTTGTTGAGTTTGAGAAACTGAAGTTCAGTGTGATTGAAACATACAGTACTCGGTGGGCAGGAGACAGGAGAATACAGTGAGAAATTAAGGAGGAAAGGTAAGCAGAAGCCAGGGCCTCATAAGCTCTTAGGATTAAATGGTGGGTAGAAAAAAAGATTAGACTAGGTCAGCAAACTTTTACTGTAAAGGGTCAGGTAGTAAATATTTAGTCTTTATGGGTTTGTGTCACAACTGTTTACTCTGCTGCTATAGCACAAAAGCAGCCATAGTAGGAAAATGAGTGAGCATGGCTGTGTTCCAGTAAACTTTATAAAAACAGGTGGCAGCTGGATTTGGCCTGTGGACCAACCACTGGATCAGACCATCATAAAAGCCGTGAGAAGCCATTGAAAGGTTTTAAGAAGTGGACTGATACTAGATGTGTGTTTTAGAAAGTTTGCTTTAATTTTAATGTTCAGTGTTAAGAATGGATTGAAGAGGATAGTACCTGAGGCAGAGAGACCAGTAAGGAGGCTGTGGCAGTTACATGGATAACATTTTCACCTTTGAGGCAGTATTTTGACAGTTGAAAATTGAGTATACCTGAATCTTTGCATCTTTGTGTATACTGGTTGTCTTTGCTAATTTCCTGGCCATCTACTTGAGCTTAAAGGATGTCTACCAGAGAAATTGTTGACGATACCAGCTCCTATTTCACAGATTAGAAAAGATGTGGGAAGGACAGTTTGGTGTGGAATGAATGAGAAGTTTGGGGGAACGCATTTCTGTTGAAAGTAGTAGTGAATAAATGTAGCCGGGGAGAGATTCTGGTCTTTGGTCTCATAGCTTAATGTTAGTTGCTTTGAATTTCTTGAACTGTACACACGGAGGGGGACCCATTTTCCTAAGCTTCCCAGGGAATTGCCTCATTCTCTATATGTCCTACTTAGTCTTCTTCTTTTCTTGCTTCTAAGAAACTGATGATCTTTTTCTGGTTTTGAGAGTGTCTCCTAGTTGAGTATGATGGTATGTGTCAGGTACAGGGATCAAATAAACTATTTGTTGAGTGTCTGATGAATTGTCTTCCTCTACCTGCAAGCTCCGGTGTGCATTGCTAGAGGTTTCTGATAACAGTGCTTATGTGACCTTGGGCAAATGACTTACCTCTCTGAGTTTAGCTTTTCTATCTGTAAAATGGAACTTAATATGTTGGTTAAAGGATTTAATGAGATGTAAAACTCTTAGCAAGGTGTCCTTAACTTTTGTTATTAACAATATTTTACACAATTTTTTAAAAAGCAGGTAGCAGTTGGGTGACTTGGCCTTTGACTTCGTACATTTGGGGTGCTCCCAGTTGTCATTGTGGCCATGTAATAGAAACCTAGCCCCTGGCAGAGGCAGCCAGCAAACAGGAGGAAATTATAACTAAAGCAAGATGCTGCTCTTCATAATGGAAAATCTTCAGCCAGCAGGAGTCCCATTCGGAATTCCAGAACTTTCTTCAGGGTGGACCTTAGCCCCAGCACCATCAGTGAAGTGAACTGAGTGAGCAGCTACCCGAAAGAAATTCACTGAAGTGTGGCCAGTCATTTTCCTGGTCTGTTGGGGTCGTTTATTAATGTTGCCACCCTTGTAGCTTTGTAAAGTGCCTCTTGAATGCTTTTTATTACTTTTCATCACCACTCTGGGAAGCGGGTCAGGTGGTCAGCATTATTGTCCCTGCTACGCATGTGAGGAAACTGAGGCCCAGGAAGGTTAAGTGTGTTGTCCGAGGTCATGCTGCGAGGTACTGTTAGAGCTGGTGCAGAGTTGCCCCCAGATGAAATTGTGTGAGTTTATTGCTGTGATCTCTCTTCTTTTGAGTGAGAGATATATAGTCATTGCAGAACTGCAATCTAATGCATGTCTTATCCATATCTCCTAGTGTTGATCTGGGTCCCTTTATCCACCTGGTCCTGTTGGGTTTTAATTGATGACTGCTAGGAACAGGCCTGCTGGGAAGCAGATTCCCTTTGGGTCATTGTTTTTAGTCCATCCTCCTTTGGGTCCATTCTTGGGGGAGCCTTGGGTGACGAGAGATTGCTTTGATATGTTCAAAATTGTGCCTTGTGCCCCACAGCTACAGGTAAAATCAAAAGGCGGATAATTTATGGGAGTGTCAGAGCTGGCCGCTGGCACCTCAGGAAGCCATTAGTATGCCTGTTCAGACCCTCTGTGTCCTTGCAATTGATTCCTCTTTGCATGAGCCTGATTTGGGAAGCTGTAGATCTGTGGGTAGTGATTGGATGTGACAGTCCAAACACCGGTCCCTAAATTAATCCTTTTAATAGTATTCTGGCACCAAGGCAATGCTCGCTCACTCTCTGTCTCTAACTGGGGAGGACAGAATGGGGGGGAGGGGGCTAGGAAGAAGGAGAGAGAGAGAAAGAAAAGAAGCTTTTCCTGATTCTTAGGCCCTGCTCTGTTCTGTCATGTTCTGATTCCAGAGCAGTTGACATCATAATCCATTCAGCAGACATTGCCTCACACTCACTTTGTGCCTGGCCCTGTGCTGGGGATACAGAAATGAATAAAATGTGGTCCTTGCCCTTAAGGATCTATGTTTAGCTCAGTGTTCCTCAGACTTTTTAAACTCATATACTCCTTAGATGGGAAAAGCTAATCTTATACTTTTCTTTAATGCTGCTTGAAATTTTAAACTGGATTCAAGGGTCTGACAAAAAACAAGTGCAAGAAATGATCTCTTCAGGGACTTCCCTGGCGGTCCAGTGGTTGAGGCTCCCTGTGTCCACTGCAGAGGGCATGGGTTTGATCCCTGGTTGGGGAACTAAGGTCCCGCATGCTGCACGGCCAAAGAAAAAAAGAAATGATCTCTTCAAATATGCCTTTTTACACACACATACACCCCTACACCTGCTATCTTCCATCCTTCTCACCTGACTTGCTGAAAATTACTGCTAAGAGGAGAAACAGATAACTAAAATTTTACAATATAGTGAGATAAAAGTTAAACTGTGCTACTGGATCACTTAAGCAATTAACTTTCTGATGAGGTGTCAGAGAAAGCTACTAAAAGGGGAAGATTTGAGCTGGATTTTGAAGAAGGAACAATAGTTTGCCTGGTGAAAATGGAAGTACATTTCAAAACAGAGGGAGCAGCATTTGCCAAGGCACAGATTTGTAAAAGGAAACATCACATTTAGGGGCCTGAGCAAGAGCTGGTTGTCACCCTGCTTCCTGCCAGTTTCTCTGCTTTGTGAGACGGGAAGATTTGCTTCCCTGGAACTGGGTTTGGGAAGAGGCTTTGAGTTCCTTGTGCTGCAGTTGCTTTAATCCAAGACACCGCTTCCTGTTTCCGCTTTTTTTAAAAAATATTTGTTTATTTATTTGGTTGTGCCGGGTCTTAGTTGTGGCTCGCAGGCTCCTTAGTTGTGGCTCGCCGGCTTCTTAGTTGTGGCATATGGGCTCCTTAGTTGCTGCATGCAGGCTCCTTAGTTGTGGCATGCGAACTCTTAGTTGCAGCATGCATGTGGGATCTAGTTCCCTGACCAGGGATGGATCTTGGGCCCCCTGCATTGGGAGTGCAGAGTCTTAACCACTGCGCCACAGGGAAGTACCCCTGTTTCCACTTTTGTACCCAGGCTGCAATTTGTTTTTCTTATTAGAAACAAATTTGAGTGATTTGGACAGACTTAATTATTGCTATGGTTGAGTTCCTTTTAGTTAAAGTCATACCTTAGCTCAAAAGAAAAACTAAAGTTGATATGCATTGTTAGCCCTATGGCTGATGGGAGAATCAGCCAAGTGGAGAAAGTGGGCCCTTAAATGTGGGAGAGGAGAACAGGGCCCTGAAGAGCTGAGTGCCTCTGAGCCTTAGTGTTCTCATGTGTAAAATGGGAATACTGTTACCTATTTTGCTTGATGGTTGGGAGGCTTAAATGAGATGAAATATGTAAGTCACGACTACAGTGCCTGGCTTGTAGTAGATTTTCACAAAATAGTGTTTCACTTTCCTCTTTCTCATGTATTAGCAATAGCTCCCTTTTGCTGAGAACTTACTATTGTGCAAAGCACTTTGTACATATTGTATGGTCTAACCGAACCCCTAAGAGATAGGTATTTTTGTTACAGCTATTATTACAAAGAGCATGTGGTGGAGGCAGGATTTGAACCTGTGCTTGTCTAATACGGCATTTTAACAACTAGCTGT